GGATGGATGGATGGATGGATAGGTGGGTGGATGGATGGATGGATGGGTGGATGTGTTGGGGTCAGCATATATTTACCTCACAAGGCGGCACCATATGTGTTGGGGTCAACACCTTAGGCTTCACACGGAGGCACCAAATATGTTGGGGTTTAATTGGCTATCGGAAATAATTAATAATTATTATTAATAATTAATAATTATGTTAAATAATGTGACTTAATTAACATTAAATCACCTCGTGGGGCGAGTTTGGTTAATAATTAAATTAATGACAACAATCAAAACAGTAACGCCTGAAGGATTTCAGAGTTCTTGACACAGCAGAGGTTGACTATTCATTCACTCTTGTGCAACATTAAACAGACAGCAAGTATGATTCCAAAGAATTATATTTATTCACAAATTAGCAAAGCAAACCAAAACACACAAATTCTAACTAAGTATATACAAGCTTGGTGTGTATATGTGTGTGTGTGTGTGTGTGTGTGTGTGTGTGAGAGAGAGAGAGAGAGAAAGAAAGAAGAGAAAGACAAAGGCGGGTGTGGTGATCAAGTAGCCGTTTGGCCTACAAAACAAAATGGCTGACAATAGAGAACTACCAAAATGGCCGAATCAAGGTTGGCTTCAGGGGGAGGTATTTGTCTGACCGTGTGGTCAGGACAAAGACAAAGGAAAAGAAGCGGGAACTTTGATATGCCTGTTTGGATGTAGCTCTGTTGAAAGCCTATTTGTTAATGAGTCTATGTCAATGTGATAGGTGTTGCAAATGGTCTGGATTGGTGCAGAGATTGTTTAGTTGCATTTAGGAATCTGTTTGTGAACAGTATTAGCAAACTAAACACTAATCAATGACCTAACTGCAGTCTACCGTATATTTCCAAATACTCGCCGGGCACCTAGTAGCCGCTGGGGGTTTGACCCCATTTTGCGTAATAAACGCCAGTCCGATTAAACACACGGGCGATTATTTCCTCATTCATTGCCTCATGGCTGTCCCTCCTTGAGGGACTGTTTGCGCTTTTACGCACGGGTCGGTGGTGAAGTGGTGCACATGACTCGTGCTACGGATGGACGGACGGACAGACAGCCACGTATCTAAAACAGGTAATACATCTGGCTACATCTTTCCCACATCAAATATCTGTGATCACCTACACCTGCGTGCGTAAAAGCGCACACAATTCTGTGTCCTCTCACTGTGGATGCTGTGATTTGATGGCCCGGTACTCATTGTAGCCCACTCTTATAAGACCCAATAATAATAAGTGACTGTGGACCTATATGCCATGCCTTTTAATGAAATTACCAGAGGAGTTTGCTGAAAAACAGGTAATGTCAGCCTGAATTACTCACGTGTGTCCCCGGTGAAAATCGCTGACATGCATGAGGAATACAGCTTCTACAGACTCACCACAGCTTACTGTCAGGACTCAGGGACCAGAATTCAGGATGGTGGACCGTCGGAATGGCGATATTTTGGTGTGGCGGCCTGTAACTGTTGGTTAAATGGCCCGTTCAGTTGGTATTCGGATAACTGGGGCTTTACTCTTATAATGCAATAGCACCACCCAGCGGTGAAACCCGTGTACACGTGTACACGAAAAAAATGACCCATTCTAAATGTTTAGAGATTTTTGTACACAAACTCACCTCTACATTATACAGTATTTTTGTACTAAAAAACATACTGGACAGGAACTGTAACCAAATAATGGCCTGGTGCAGGTCGGTGCAAAAAAAAAAGCCTTGAGCAAATAGCCCCTGGTTCTTTTAAAGGCCTGGGGTCAAAATCGATTTTGTGAAATAAACGCCCAGGCTACTATTTGGAAAAATACGGTATCACAACAATAACTCAGTAAACAGTATCAAATCACATACAACAAGTTAAACAGTCTTGCTCAGCCTGTAAAGCTGTGATAAGCTATGCCCAGTTGTTACATTACCGATCCTTGAATGGATGGATGAAAGAGTCACTTGGTGGTGTTTTTTTTTTTTTTTTTTTATTATTTTTTTGTTTTTTTGGTTTCAGCTGCAGTCTTTTTTGTGTCCTTTGTTCCAAAGGTTCTGATCTGAGGAAGCTGGTCGCTCGGGTTCCTTGCGGAGTTAGACGCTGGGTGCTAACTCACTTAGTTCCTTGTTGCTGGAAAGCTGGTTGTAAACTTTGTGTTTGCAACTCTACCTTTCTGTTTCAGGTCAGAGAGTCTGTGATCAGTTGTCCTCCCTTTAGTGGTTTGGGGCTGTGGAGCCAGAGTCTGGGCCTCTGCAGTTCCAGGCCCAACCAGAAAGAGGTGGGAGCTGCTGAAGCTCCAGGGCAAGAAGAGGGAGAAAGCTTGGCGGGAGCAGACCTTGGGTGCGTCCCAAGTCTCTTATTTTTATAGTGCTACTGCTAGCTCCTAGCTTGAACCAGAAGTCGTTCGAGGTCCGCCATCTTCTAGGCCATCCCAAGTCTCTTATTTGTGCAGCGAGGAGCTAGCACTAGAAGCTAGCAGCAAGCTTTAAGCAGCTACGAGCTAGGATGGTCGAGAGGTTCCTGAGGTGAGACCTCCTGTGGAGATGGGTGTCACTTAGCTCTCTTTGTTTGAAGAGCGTGCAGAGGAAAAAGCCTTGAAATCAGTAATGATTTTACCAAATGAGTAATCATCTGTGGTCCTGTGAATCCCAACAGATGGATGGATGGATGGATGGGTGGGTAGATAGATAGATAGATAGATAGATAGATAGATAGATAGATAGATGGGTAGATGGATCGATAGATAGATGGGTGGATGGATAGATAGGTTGGTCGGTGGGTGGGTGGGTGGGTGAGTGGATGGATGGATGGATGGATGAATCGATAGATTGATAGATAGATAGATAGATGGATGGATGGATGGGTAGGTCAGTTGGTGGGTGGGTGGGTCGGTTAGATAGATAGATACATAGATAGATAGATAGATAGATAGATAGATAGATAGATAGATAGATGGGTAGATAGATGGATGCCAACACTTAAAAATGTTTCCACCTAAAGAAAGTAAAAATATGTAAGATGAGTTTGACGTGAACTTTAAACCTGTGATAGTCATGAAATGTAACACTGTTCTGAGTTGAGTGGAAAGCGTTGGTTTAATGACATCCAAAAATAAAGCAAATTAAAAGTTCAGTGACATCATAGATTTTAGAAATTGCAAAAAGTGTAAAAGTTAAGGGGGATATTAAAAAAAGAAAAACCCTTAAAGTGTAATGTATTTTACTGTTTTCCTCTGCCTAATCACCTCAACAGTCAATCACTGTCACTCAGCTTCATCATAAACTACTGTGAAATGTGTATTTCTGCTGCTTAAACTTTGAATTTGTATTTTCATCAGCACTGAGTGTAGGGGAGTATGATGTCCAGCAGGTGGTGCTGCTGCATCAAATATGTCAAAGGGGCTCATGTTCATGGTTTGTGTAAGATAAGATAAGATAAGATAAGTTGACCCTTTATTGAGCCTGGCCAATAAGTAAAGTTTATAAAATAGAATTTAGAATATAATAATAATAATAAATTATAAAAGAGTAACTAGACCCAGAACCATAACTAGTTGCACTAGAAACAGGAAAGTGTTGTTTAGAACCAGAGAATGCAGTTTCTGAAGAAATTGTGGGTGTGAATGCTGCATACTGAAAAGCTGATGCTACACTGCAATGCTGGCTTTAATGTGTCAGAATAAGATGAAGTGATAGGAGTAGTTGAAAAAGTGGAACGGGGTCTGAGTATGAATGTCATTGAAAGGCTGAATGACACCAATACTGTGGAATATTCTAAGGTTTTTGAAAAGCTGACACTACACTGCAATGCTGGCCTAAATGTGTGAGAAGGTGAAGTACTGAGAATTGTTTTGTGTCTGATTTAAACATTCTCCCCTTCCACTTGAATGGGGGAAAGAAAATCCTAAAAATAATTAAATTGATGAAGCAAAAATAGGTGCCTGAAGCCGAGCCAGACGGCTCCAGACCTTGCCTTCAACGTCTTTGACTGGACTCGCCTTTGCTCAAATTAGTATCTTAGAATACAGAAGGCTGGTGTTCAGAAAATCACTGGAGACACGTAGAATCAGATGCAACCGAGTTTAATGTGTTCACAAGCAACAACACATACATCTCATGAGTCAAGCTCCGGAACAAGACTGAAGTTTCACTCTCTGCGCTCTCCCTTTTATGCTGGTGAATCTCTACCTTTTTCTTTTAGCCCCTCCTACTTGAGCCCGAACATTCTGCTGAATCATGTCTTAACTGTGTAATCTTTTCTAGCCACCTTGGGTGTGGTTCATACAGGTGTATCAGGCTGTAGCAGCCTGGGCTGGAGTTCCCTAAACTTCCCCACCCTTATGTTCGAGCCAAGTCCCACTTCATGTTTTTAAAAACATTGAATCTTAGGGACTCTCCATTTAGTCCCCAGTGCTTACACGCAATACATGTGTGTGAATGAGTACAATACATGAATACATGAAACAATGTGTTAAATGAGTATTTTAACTTTAACATATATTCCAACCTTAATCAACTTATGCCAGTGAATATCTACTTATTATTATTTTGATGACTCTTTGCAGTTAAAGCTCGTTTTACACTACAAAACATTTTGGAAAGTATGAAGTTATGAATGACAAAGTCATCACCAGAATGTCCTAACTGAGCTGAATATTTTGATGTTTGAATGAAATTTATAAGTTGAAAAGTGTGTTAGGAGAAGAGGAGCAAAAAGTGGGAGGAATAATAATAATAATAATAACAATAATAATAATAATAATAACATACCACCAACTGCAACCGTGTACAATAGTTCATATTATAGTATGGGATATTAAGTAATAAGTAATATGTGCTGATGTAGTACACAGTATAGTAGTACAGAATATAAAAGGCTTGTATGAGCAGAGTGGAAGCTCAGAGTGATGCCACACCTTCATATAAAAGAGGTGTGGCTTACGTTTGTTTTCCTGCTGAGTTCAGAGATCACTTCACTCAGAATCAGAAGAGAGTGCAGAGCAGATAGGCTGTTTGTTTGTCTCCTTATTTTCATCATTCCCCCTCTGACCATGCAGGAAAGGGAGAACAGGAGAGGATATCCGGAACAATTTGTGCAAAAACAGCACTTGAAGCTGAATGATTTAAAAGAGAAAGCTCGTAATCAATACCTCAGAAAACAAAACATCCCAGAATACCCCCGACCAGAGTTCCATGTGTCTCATCTGAAACACGACACAGACAAAGATGGACTGCGTGGCATCTGGACGGATAATGGCTTCAAGAATCATCACCAAAGTTCTCTGGTGTGGTGGATTCTGGCTGTGACACCTGATGACATGGAGTCAGCTGAGAGGAGGCTCCTGGAGAAAACCTACCCCGACCGCACAGAGGAGCAGACCCAGATGCAGCAGAGCTTCCTGGAGAAGTTTGCCACTTCTCCTGCCTTCAAGAAGACCTCCAGGCTGGGCTCGTTCCGCTTCACCTTCCCCCTGAAGGAGGTGCTGGATGCTTACAGCCAGCAGGTATGATTGTTGATCAGTTCTTACAGTGTGCTGTGAGGGCGCTAGAATAAATGCACATTATGAAGTGAACGATACGCTGAGCTGTCCTACAACATTTAAAAATCAAATCCACAGCTTCAACTGTGTTTAATATAAAGTTACCAAAGAGGGAGCTCACAGGACAGAGCAGGCAACATGCTGTCTGCGCCTCCCAAACCAGAACAGTCTACTGCAGTGAGTGGTGTTCGCAGCAAGTAGCCACAGGGGTTCATGAAGTGCCCCCGGAGACGGCCAAATTGTACTTCCCTGGGCGTTCTGACAGTCAGGCAGGACAAGCTAGACATCTCTTGTCCAAACATTCACTCTTTGCTTCTTCTGATAGTGACTTGAGCTGCACCAATCTTATCCAGCATGAAATCCCTGTGGCTGACGAAGCACCTGTGTGTGAGAGGTATCGGAGAACCCCCCCCTCGCCTGTATGAAGAGGTGATAAATCATACCAAGAAGCTTTTAGAGCAGGAAGTGCTAAGAGGAAGTAGTAGCCTGTACTCTTCCCCCGCAGTGACAGTATGTTTGGTCGTTTTTAAAAGTATTTATCTTATATCGTATAGGCCCTAAAACTATTGTATAAATACGATAATTATCAACACTGTGTCTCATACTAAAGTCCTGAAGCCTGTGTCCAGGCCAAAGACTAACAAGGCCCTGTTTCTCTGAAATCATGTGACTGCTTTGTTGTGTGATTACAGTTGCTTGCCCCACCTCAGATGTGCCCCAGTCTCACAGGCACACACACACACACACACACACACACCACTGTATATAACCACATTCAGGATAGATTCATTTCATCTGGCTTTACAATACCTCATAAGGGGATTCTGACGTAATACTTCCATCATTATGTGAACAGATCCACTGACATGTAGCCCACATGTAATGTCACAGTAGGACTGCTGTACATCAAATGACCAGCAGATATCAGTACTCCCAAATGAGCTGTTAAACGGGGCTTCGTGTAATCGGCCTTTTGGCGAAGCAATAGGCCGGAAAGATTTGACACATTCACAGGGCTTCATCACACCATCACTAACTGCAGTGAGTCATCTTGGACAGCTACCTGTGGCTACGCCACCGCATGTCCCGATCTGAGTTTCAACCATTTTCAGTACTTCTATTGTATGACAATTTTCACAGCATGAGTTATTACAGAAAATGTTTGGTTCATGTTTAAGATGTAAGTATGTGGCCCTGAAAGCTTTGAAAGAAGTGTTAAAAGATAAACCTGCAGTGACTTAAAGCAGAAAAAAAATCAGAAGTCTTTCCCTCTGAACAGTGTAAATCAGTTTGGTGGCTGGTGAGACTTTCACAAACTGACTGCAGCATTTGATGTATTGGTATGTATTTTATGTCTTTTTATGTCTTTTACGTATTTTTAACTTGTGTTTTATTGTGAGCCACGTCAAAGACGAATTTCCACTGCTCTGCAATGGGCAATAAAGTTCTTTCTGATTCTGATTCTCTCTTCTCTGATTCTGATGTACTGAGTTTATTTTCTTGAGCAACACTGAGCTAACTGAGGATCAAAACCACAGGAAATAAAACACTGCAGTCAAATTGTGAAAGCACACACTTTTCACAGCGATGCATAAAATACCCCAAAATTCAAAATATCAGGTGGAGCCTAATTGTTGTTTCAATTTGAGCAATAAAGGAAACTGATCAAATGTTCACAACCCAAACACAAAACCAAACACCAAAACAGACGTCACCATGACACCTCTCTTATTTTCTCTTTTGTACATTTACTATTGCTCTTTTATAAAGCAGAAGTATTTCTTATCCTATTACTGGATTAATCGATGGTAGAATATGCGATTACTAAAATAATTGATAGCTGCAGACCAAGTGGCACTGTAAATCTATCTATACATTTATCTATCTATCTAATCTATACATATTTATATATAAATATATATTTATATATATATATACACACACACACTTGACGACATGGGGAACTACAAACTCAAAGAAAATTGGCCAGTTAAACAGCATTTTACACCATGGCTGAAACTGGTACAATGCATTGTATACAAGGCTCGGTGTATTTTATCCAAAACGTTTTTCAAACTCTGCATGATGGGAATCAAAGCAGTGGAATCGCACATGCAGAGTGAGAGGCACAAAATCGCCAGAAAAAAACTTACTAACAAACACCAGGCATTTCCCACGTATTTTTCATCCTTGTCTCCACAATGAGACAAAAAAGTCGTGTTCCATATCTTAATAAACATTTGGGCAAAATTGTTCCTAAACCTAAATAAGTTTTTTTCAGGAGTTCTCACAGGAAAGAGGACTTTCAGAACTTTACAGGGACATTGATGAATGACTTTTCCATGTGCAGTGAGTCGTTCAATGAAACCTCTTTTTATTGTCTCCAGTTTTGCTCCGGTGCTCAGCCCATCATGCGGGTGTCTGAAACCATCCTGTACAAACAGGAAGTGATGTACACTGTGCTGGTCCACAGCCCAGCCAATCAGGAGTTCGCAGACTATCCTTTGTTGACTGACGACCCAGACGCTGTCTGTGCTTATAGAGATGGCCTCTTCATCTGGAGGCCTGAGGCCATGAGTGAGACACACAGGTAAGAATCAACCACATTGATGGTCAGATATTTCAGATGTTTCTCTTTATAACCTCCATCTTTATCTTAACATATGAAGCCACTCAACACACTGTTGCACCACGCCTGGATCTTTAGTCAGTTTAGTTCTGATACAAATGTTAATGTGGTTTTGAGCGATGGAAATGGTTCAAATCCTTTATCTGTCTTTATTTTTCTGTCAGCTATGAGCTGATCCGGAGACCTGGTGAAAAGCAGATGGAAGCACAGAAAGTGGCTTACCCTCAGTTTTATGTTTGGGATAATGTTGCCATCGCCCTGCACGTGGAGGAACAGGTACCCTCAGTGCTCGTTGCTCTCACTCATTACAGTCACATCAGATTCAGGTCCATTTCAGCGGTCAGTTTGATTTAACAGAAGCTGTTTGGATTATGGGTGGCATGGTGGTCAAGTGGTTAGGACTGTCTCCTCACAGCAGGAGGGTTCCTGGTTTAATCCCAGGAGGGAGCCCTTCTGTGTGGAGTTTGCATGTTCTCCCCATGTCAGCGTGGGTGTCTGCAGCAGCGGGTCTGTCGGGCAGCTAAGTGAAGTGGAGCCTGAGGAGGAAGCACCTGTTAGCCCCTGTTTCACTACAGGCAGATTCACTCGCTACAGGGGCGAGGAAATAAAACCTGAACAGCCAATCAGAGTGATCTCTCTCACTGACAAGCTCCGCCTTTGATTCAACATGCTCAATCGGCTGAAAAGCCGCCGATGCCGAAGTGCCGACGGTGTGGGACACACCGCAAAAACTAGACCGACAGACGCTCACCGACGGCCCGATTTGTTTCTGAAATATTTTTGATTTAAGAAGTTTTAAGTCATTGTAAGTTAGTAACGGTCTATAAACCTGTATTTCTCATTTGTCTTTCTCCTCCTCTTCCTCCTTCTCCCTCCTCGTCAAAATGCCTGGCCCCGAGAATATGGACAGAATTCTACTGATAATATGTTTTGTATTATTCTGTGTGTTATCTAACAATAATGCTCATCTGAGTTAGCACTTAGCATGCCTGCTAATATCAAGCCCTTTCAAAGACTGCAGTTGTTCTGCTCGTCATCTTCTTCTGTTATTTTTCTGTTTTAGGTGCTGAAATTTGATTCTGGCCGACTGAGAGAGAACCTCAAGCTCTGCAGTGCAGGAAAGGTTAAAATTACACCTCGTTACAACTTTCTCAGCTTCCAAGACGCTAAAGAATTTGTGGAGGAGTTGTGGCCTGAAGATACAGAAGATAGAAGCTGTATAGAAGATACAGAACCAAATTCAGAGAATGAATGAATGAATTTTATTTTGGTTACATACATCTTGAGAAACAAAGATTATTCCACACAAATTTTCTCAGTCAATAACCAAAAAGGAACAGGCTGAAGCCCCAGACTTATTTTTGCCTCTCCAATAACAACCAGAGGAAACCCCAGAATATCAACAACACCAAAGAAAGGAAATAAATTAATTATAAATACATTATACTCTGAATTATCAACCTCAATTATTTTACATTTTAATCATTTTATATGTTAAGGCTTTTTTTTAAGCACTGAGTCTAGTCCGAAACTTGACTCCCAAAACTGAAACACATCTGTATTTTACATTGGTTCCCACTTTACATGTTTCATAAAGAAACAACCCTCTTAAATTATAATCTCCTTCTCTTAATCTAAAAAAATATTGCAGACAAACAGGAAGTTTCTCTTGGCAACATGAAAAAGTATTTCCAATATTTTTAAATACACAAATGTCTGGAAACTGGAGGAGCTCTTTTCTGACATTTAACTATGGGGTCTACATTAATATTTGTTTTATATGCATTTTCTCAAATTTCAGCATAGGTCAATATATACAAACTTTTCTTATTCAACAACTCTCAGCAGCAGCAATGGATTTAGATAATTTCTGTTTAATATGTTCTATGTGTGGTTTCCAACATGGTTTATGATCTAAAATCACTCTATATCATATATATGTACTCTATAATCACACAAAATTTTGTTTGATGTACTCTTTCAATTCAATCATTTAAATTCAATTTTATTTCACAATTAGTCCTGATACCCCCGAACACCATGAATTTAGTTTTATATTTTCAACTTGATCAATTCCCTTTCTTCTGTTTTTAATATCTCTTTCATGTCCTCACCTGGACAAAATAAATTTTTTTCATCAGCAAATGTTACAGATTTCAACATATTAGATACCGTACAAATATCATTTAAATAAAGTATAGATAACTTAGGTTCTAGTACTGAACCTTGTGGAACACCACAGGTTTCTCATCTAAGATAGTTTTAATTTCACATACTGAAACCTATTATTTAAATAACTATTTAACCAAAGTTGTGTGAAACCTCTTAAACCATAGTGTTCACATGGTATAAGAAGTAGGGAATGATTGATTGTGTCAAATGCTTAATGTAAATCAATAAATACACTATAACTCATATTTCTCAACAAAGTCCTGAAGTCTGTTTTTAGTATTTCATAAAATTGAAGTAGCAACAATGACACAGGTCTTTAATTTGATAATTTGATACAATATGCTTGTCACTATTTTTATAGATTGGAACCACTTTAGCCTTTTTCATTTTATCAGGAAAAATACTTGTAGGAAAAGATTTTTTTTACATATTTAAGTAAATGGTTTGATGACACATTCAATTGCTTCTTTTATAAGTGACATGTCAATAGTGTTGTCATCCGTAGACTTTTTTCCTTAAACTTTCTGACCACTTGTAGCACATCACTTCCACAAACTCCACCAAGGAACATTTAATTACTGTTATCAAAGGCAAGATCAACATAATTATCTTTTTTTATACCATCAGAAACATGTTTCACATTTCTGCCATGTAAACATATACCATGTACCAGAAGCCAAGTTTACACCATCAAAAACAAGTTTATACCATCAGAAACCAAATTAATGGTTTTAGCTGGACTTGTATTTTAATTTTAATTTGTGAAGTAATGAATAGGGTTGAGAGGAATTCTTGGCTGCATACATCAGGTAACACAGGTGTCACAGGAGAAGATGAGGCTGATGTAGAGCAGAGTCTTAAAAGGTAAATGGTCATAACGTGTTGGCCTAATCTTTACGACTGTGTACTTTGTCCAGGAGAACACCTGTTGTAATATAATCAGCCTATTAAATGGCAGGTATTAGTTTTTATCACCACCATTACCAGTAGAATTTGTTCAGTTTTAACAGTGATTCAGTGCCAGGTACAATATGTGATTTTCTGTGCCCTCAGTTTGGATTTGTGTTGGTATGTTTGCTCAGTGCTCTGTACTTTGTCCTGTGGTGGTGCTTCACAATGCTACTTTTAATAAACTCTGTGGTGTCAGGTCATGTGAGATGTGCTGATTTTTGACTGTGTGTGAGAGGAATCAATGTGGAAGAGTCTGTCCAGTCTTTAAGCTCTGGTTTTATGTCTCTGCACCGCTGATAGCTGCGGCCGGAGGCGTTATGTTTTCAGGTTTCATCAACCCGTCTGTCCCATTCTTGTAAACACAATATCTCAAGAACTTCTCGAGAGAACGATTAATTAACCAAGTTTATACCATCAGAAACACAAACTCTCGGGTGAAATTCAGTTGTTGTTGGACCCATCCACCACCCCTCCCGCCTGCCTCACTTGGACTTTCACCGCCTTAACTTTTGTCCTTGTCCCGGCGCGTTTCCCCCTGACTCCGTTGGATGCCGTTAAACTATATCATACGATACAATATGTTATATCGTATCGATATAACATATCATGGTTAAAGGATGCCTTTTTTCGTTTTCGTTTCTGATGCCACAAGTCACTGCCCAAGTGCTGTATTTTAACGACTCTGGAGTGAGACCGTGCTTCTCGGTCTCAACCCTGGAGTTACACTGGTGTAAAACAAATGTGTATTCAAACTAATTCCATGTTTTACTGGTAGCAGTAATATAAAACACAAATTTAAGACAACAGAGACCATAGACAGAGTCTTTATTTATTCATCAGGATCAGGTAAGGTGTCGTAAAATGGAAATATTCAAGAGCCCCTTTTCCACCGCAGAAACTTTTATCATTTACCTGGGATTTTGAAAAACCTTGGCGCGTTACCAGTGAAATTAGCCAGGGAAAGAATTTTCCCTCAACCCCAAACTTTCCCTGAAAAAAGTACCTAGTAGGGGGGTAGGACTTTTCAGATTCCCCGGGATGCTTGAGGGGCGGGACTGTGTGCTGAAGAACGCTGATTGGTGGAACACACATTTGCAGTGTTCCGCACTTCGTGCCAGTGTGGCTGCAAACTTTATTTAATTTCTACAAGCTTGTCTTCGTTTGTGTTTTGATCATTTGGAAAATGGAGCAAAAGAAGAGAAGCTGAGAGAAGTGGATGGACTACGAGGTCCAGGCTCTTTTGAGTGTATTTGCTAAGGAAGAAATTCAGCGGGACTTCGAGTCAGTGACTCGAAACAGCTGAACCTATGGAAGAATAGCTGACAAGCTGGCAGAGATAAATATAGGGCACACGCCAAAACAAATTTGTGAAAAGTTGAAGAAACTTTAGAAAGATTATAAGAAGCTCGGTTGGTTGCTGTTTATTGCGTCATCGTGCTTGTTTGGCCTTTAGCTTCTACTTAACGCTACCTACTGGACTGGAGGTGTAGTGCAGTTTATTTTACCACTCCCCCATACGTCATCATAGCCTGGCGTGTCCAGACCCAATTCGCAAAATGTAAATGGGTCTGGACACAGAGTGTACATTTCCTCTATTCCCGAGGGGCGGTATCAATGGCTGTCACTCAAAGTGCCCCTTCACGCAATTGGAAAGACGGAAAACCAATCAGTAAACGAAACGTGTGACATAGGCTAGCACAACGCCACTGTAAACAGACCAGCAAGCTGCAGTGGAGATGAGCTGTGATGATGTCTGGGAAAGAGTGTTGCCGTCTTTGTGGATTTCCTCCTCACTGTGGACTCAGAGTTGCATGGCTGTGATTGCCAGCTTGGTCACTTCCCTGACCTGCTCCTCCATGAGAGCAACTAGCGGAGAAACAACAATAGCCACTGGGTTTTCACTGAGTCCCATCTTTTTCCCAATCAACGGAGCCAGTTAATAAATTAAACTTTTACCAAACCCCGTAGGTAGGACGGCAAACACATCCTTTTTTTCAGTAAAAGCTTTCAGTGCAGCCATTTGCTCTGCTTTTAAAGAAAATGTACATTCCAGTTCGTTCAACACATTTACCATCGCAGTTTCAAAATCAGTAGCCATGTTGGTTGTTTACGAAATGCATTCACTTCACTCCTTGTCCCTCCTATTCTGATGAGGTGCCCGCCCCAAAGTAATAAACAGTTGTGATTGGCCCGGTGAGCTTTAACCGATGCCAGATTGCGCCTTTATTTTTTATATTTGTGACATGCAGCAGAGGGTCGCAGACCAGGCTCGAGCCGGCGACCGCTGCAGCGAGGCAATGCCTCTGTACATGGGGCACCTTTATGAGATCAGACTAATCTGCGGAGCGAAATAGAATATCAACTCACGAGATTGGGATGGTTTCACCAGGCTAACGTCATCAGCCTGATTTGAATACATTTTCTGGAACTTTGAGGTGCGATGGAAACGCAAACCACACAGATTTCCAGGAGTTCTTTACCCAGATAAATAAATTCCTGGAAATAAAAGTACCTCAGACTTAACTCTCCATCACCGCCGTCCTCTGAGCTTCAAGCAGTTTGTGTGAGTGTCAGTTAAAACTGACAAACTGATGATGTTTTGGGCCAAACCATCAATAAAAACACAAACTCATTTTTTGTTGCAGACTGAACAGGTTGAACTTGTTGATTTCTTCTTCTTCTTTCTGTTTAATGGCGGATCGTAAGCAACGTTCAGGTGCATACCGCCACCTACTGTACAATAGTGCGTAGCCTCATATCCCCTCTTTCAACTCCAAAACACTTTAAAGGGCCAGTGTGTAAAATGGGTTGAAAACAGTGACATGTAGCGTTTAGATTAGATTCTAGATTGCAGCGCTCACTCGCTCGCCTGTGCTCACCCCTCCCGTCTGCAAAGTTACGGTGTCCTCCGAGGACCAAAACACTTTGGAAAAATGGCGTCGTCCGCGACAGAGAGCAGTGTCTCTGCCGGTAACATATCCGAAGCAACGAGCAATGAGGTGAAGATTTAAACCATATTACAATATGTTATAGGTTATCAGTGAGAGGTTAGGAGTGTTTTATTCCTAATTGTTTTGGTAACATGAGCAAACATTAGCGCAGTAATGCTAAATAAAGTCATGGCACAGTGCGGCAAATAATCGTCAGGTTGGTAGGATAACCGTTAACGTTACATATTACAATATGCATTTGCAGAGTGATTTTCCACAGCACAGGTGATTTGAAATAGGCTGCAGCTGTACTGAATCCAATCGGCAGGGTACACAGGAGTAACGTTACTGCTGTCCTATTGTCTGTTATGCCTTTGACATAAGACTAAAATTTTCGTAAGTGTTTTACAGTAGTTGCTCTACCTGGAGATGATGTAACG